ATCTGGATATCGATATAAGGGCCGGAATTTCGGTGGATATCGATATACGCAGGTCTGCATACACCTCATTAAATCATATACGGAACTTGGTTGTATCAATCTAAGTGTGCGACGGTGAAAATAGGTTGCCAAGTTATGCATTGATCCCACTCTCCTGTCAAAGGAATCGAAAGGGCAGTGCTTTCTTGGGGATTAGCTAGGGCGGCCGAGGTGCAGGACGACGCAAGGAGATGTTAGGCTGTGCAATTACGGAGAAAAGACCTTGCTTATCAGAAGCTTCCCATTCACAGGTCCAGCATCTTGGTAGCAGAGGCAATCCGTGGGGGTCCGTTTTGAATGCGCACAGCCTCGGAAAGAAGTGTGGAGAATTGGGCAAGCATAATATAACTAGAGTTTCAGGCCATGGGCTTACAATAAAGCATGAATGTGTAGATTGAAGGCCCTGAACTCGAGTATTAGGTGCTGTCGTCCAAGCGAAATCTCATCATGGCTGTTTATGTGAGCGTAAATTGCCCAAATTCCCTGGTTAACACGAAAGTGGGGTGAGCACTAACAGTCGTAATTTCAGCAGCCCTGCATGGCTGACCTATTGCCTAAACTGTAAAGAGGCTCAGTGATGCCGGCGGTGACTATGCATGACAGGAGGCTGCCGAGCCTTTACATGTAGCGGCTTGTGGCTGCGGTGGTGACTATTCATGACAGGAGACTGCCAAGCCTTCACATGTAGCGGCTTGTGGCTGCGGCATTCGGCATTTCTCCGTGTGGAATGTAGCGAAGTCCAATCAAAGTGGGAGCAGAGTGTCTCAAGAAACGGTACCCGGTATTCTCGACAGGGCGGACAATGGACCAATCGGAACTTGGGGACAGCGACGAATCTTCCTTTTCGGGCAGTTTTGACGGAAACGGAAAGTCGCCTGCCACTTGGTGGCCACAACCCGGTCCATGTCCTGACTCCACAATGAGCTTCGACAGTCGAGATAGTGGCCGAGAAAACACCACATGAACAGGCCACTGCGGGGTGGAGAGTCCACGCTGCAGTACATGGCTTGGCCCGCAATTTAGTGGTCAGTGTAGGAGGGTCGGTGTTGGAGGAACAATGCAGCTGCCACATTCGGCGCAAGAAGGATCGAAACTGGAGGCCTTCTCCTTTACACTTGCCAGCATACTGTCAGAAATACGGTGGCTGTAAGGGAAAGGCTCCATTTTAGAACTTAGATAGCTCGAGTCAGAGCTTCCTTCGGAAGCTCTTACTCTCCTTGTGAACAATCGCTTTATCCAAGTCGCACTCGACCTTGCTCGTGCCCTTGTACCGTCACAGTGGCACAAGATCCCAGCGAAGACCGAGTATTTTTTTCAAAGTAAGATCGAGTTAAATTTTTTCTTCTCCAAAGAATGAACAGCCCGTTTCTCATACAGTGATCGGCATGGCCTGGTCTGACTTGGCCTTGGTCTGGTCTAAACCGCCAAGCCTTGGTTTGGCCTGACAATTTCTGGAGACCATGGTCTACTCGTGCCACGCCGCACTTTATTTGGAACTCGCAAGCTGCCAGATTGTGGCTTGTTAACCTCCGTCACAGAACGAAGGTTAGTTCAGTATATGAAAACCAGCTGTTCATTCTTGGAACAATAACAATCAACTTAATCTTACTTTTGCAAAATCAGAGTTTTCGCTATGGTCTTGTGCCACCGTATTTCTGACAGGAACTCACGAGCAACGTCGAAGGACGGTGCAGGCCAGCAAATTAAGCCACTTCCTCTGATAGCTCGTGGCACTGTCTGCTGGGCCGAATGCTGCCAAGATGTTGCTTTAGCAGGACGGGCGAATCGTGCCACACCCCATTTTTTTGGGTCAAGCAAAGACCCAAAAGAGTGGGGCGTGGCACGATTAGCCCATGAGACGAAGCTGAATCGTTTAAGTGACTTCTCCACCAGCGCCAGCATTGTCTCCGTATTTATTACAGTTAAAAATGGGGAATTACAAGATGGGCATGACATTTTGGTTACACGGGCATGACCTTTACCACTCCCGATCTGATTCGCCCAAATTCTGCTGATCCACGGGTACTTGCTTGCAAAGGCGGTATCGTGAGCTTCCTTGACAGCTCTGATTCAACGTATTCTTGTCCGTTGTCGCCGGTTCGCGCACGGTCTTGGAAGCAATTGCTCCCGTATTACTTAAGAAGCTCGCGTTCTAAATCACAATCGTATTCTATTAGTCAGTAACTGCTATGTATTATGCAGCTGCCTGTTCATTCCAACCTCATCAAGGAGGAATGTACTCACTCGTGGCACTACCGCTAAAAGTTATTGCAAGGGCAGAGACAAGATGGATGGAACCATCTTATTGTGCTGACACAACAGGCTGTTCTTGGTTGCCATATGCAGTGAGCTGTGGCCAAGGTACTTGTGGTGGACGTGGCAGGCCGCAGAATGCAGTGGATTTTAACAAAAATTATTTGGGCGAATCAGAAGCCGTAAAACTCATGCCCGTGTAGCCAAGGTGTCATGCCCGCCTAGAAATTCCCTAAAAATGCCTCGACATTCCGCTGACTCGTCACATACCGAGGGTGACGTGTCCGCATTCTATTTATTAGTTCTTGGTCTGCGGGCTGAGTGGGGTGAATTATTCGACATTAAGGTCAGACTCACCCACCCCCGATCACGGGTAAGCCCGCATGCACCTACTTAAGTAGTCTGGTTGTTCTTTCTTTTACATGCTGTAACGCATCGCTCTCCTTTACATCATTCAATACTTTGCTCCCTATTTGACATTCTTCAATACATAGATCTATCTTCTGCACTTACAAGGCCGTTTCTAACCCAGATAGACTAAAAAAATGAAGCCCCGTACTATTATTGTGGCGGCATTTGCCGGCGTGACTGCCGCCGGCTACGTCCAATCCGCCCAACAAGGACATGTTTGTGGCCGCTAGAAAAATTCACCCTTCCTTAGGGGTGCGTTCGCTAATATGGCCATGCACATAGAAAAATCTTACTGTTGAAGAGGTCTGCGAGTGGTACGAGACCGGACGAGGCAACTCGGAGCGAAAAGTCAATCAAAAATGCCGAGTTCCTGCAGCAAAATGCATCCAAGACCACCTGGGCAAAGGAGAAGTCCCTGGCGACTTTGAAACGCTCAAGACAGAGGTCGATCTCTGCACTTTTTCGCCCATGTTTGGAAAGGTACGGATTAATTCCAATTGCCCCACCCCACACCGGGAGATAAAGTTTAAGCAGTGGCTAAAAGATTGTTTCACAGTCACCCACAGAATTTCCGACTATTATTGAAACCCAATTAGACATTGATCCTGAGAAAAACCGTCGGCTCACGAGTTGGTGTGTTATGGATCATGCTACCTGGACCGGGGGTAGACTGGACAACCCCGAAGACACTGATTGGATCATTGCGTGTGTTGCCCGGAAAAACCTAAACCAGGACGGAGATGTAAGTAGTCTTTTGAACGGTAGCAACTGCGCAATTTTAACTTTTCAGCATTGAGCTAACGCTACCGGTAATAGACAGTGAAGAATCTTGTGGCGACGAATGTACGGATAAATCTTGAAATGGCATGCAGTCAAAATGTAATAGCTCTGTCTTGTCTAATATCAAGTCATGTGCTAATATTACCTCCAGGGAACAGAGTTTAATTGCAAAGCCGCGCATACAGGGAAGCTAATATATGAGTTGTGCTCTGACGAGGCCGATCCCAACTTAGAAATCGTATACGAAATGGTTGAGCAATATAAGCAGAAGGAGCAAGATATTGAAAATTGTAAAGAGAGGTTACAGAAATCTCCGCCTAAGATTCGGAGTATTAAGGACCTTGACCAGGTCTGCGAGGAATACGGTGTTGAGGTGGGTGTCCTGCCTGGATTTTTCTTTAAAAAAAGAAAAAGAAAAAAAGAAAGCATTGATTAAGGCTAACACGGCGAAAACATTTAGTGTTTTGGATGCAAATTGTCTGACAAGGACGCTTCTTGGGGTGGTTCTGAGCCGCACAGCGATCTTGTGAGTCTCAGTTACATCGAATCAAATTTTCTTCTAGTAAGCCGTCTTGGTGCTAATTATTATTCATCTAGCGCTACATTAACTGCCAAACTAGACCGCAAACTGCAGCTTCAACTCTACGACCCAGCGCCAACGAAATGTCAGGGGACCAGCAACTTGCGAATTTCTGTGGCCGCCCTCAAGCTTGAAACGACAAAGTTGCAAAAGGCATATATAACATAGGGAATTGCTACACGGGCATGACACTTTGGCTACACGGGCATGACTCTTACACGGGCATGACTTTTACCACTTCTGATTGGTCGCATTGTCTCTGTTAACGACGCTGGATTCTGCCACCTCAGCCGCGAGTACCTGGGCCATTTTAACCTTGCTTCTGTGTAATTACTTCATTTCGGCTAAGCTACTACGCAGCAACCCAGTGGTCGCGCAGTCCGGGCGACCCCTCGACCTTGCTTTTCTTCATTTTCGTAGCTTTTAATAAACCATAAATACGGCACCCTATGCTGTAGAGACAGCGACCAATTCTTTCACTACAATCTTGTTCTCTTCTCAAGACGTGTAAGAACGCGTTCACAATGTCAATGTCTTTGCCTCGCACACCTCCTCGCAGGTCGCGGAGCCCTAGTCCCAGTGATCAATCACAAAGAGGAAAGCGACACAAATCCAGTCGGCGACGCAGATCTAGTCCTTCCACAGTTGAAGACCGACCACAATCCGCGAGTAGCTCTGCTACGAGTATCGGTCAGTTCTACGGCCTCGGGGACGAAAATGCACTCGATAACCTGTTCGCCTCTTTCCCGCAAACACTTTCAAGTCTCCCACACCCCCATGGTTCACAGGGCCGCCATGAGCCTGCATGGGGCCTTCGATCTGACTATGAGATATATCTTCAAAATGACTTCTTCCGTGGAAAAAGACGGAGGAGCCAGCGAGTCAGAGCGCTTATACCAGGCCCAGAATTTGATCCATTCGCCTCTGAACCTCCCGAATCACCCCCATCCGCCCAGCATCTCCCAACAAGGACAAGAGCCGAGTTCGAGTCCGCAATGCGCATAGTACGAGAGGTTACCGGCGAAGGTCGAAGGCTAACTGTAGACCTTGCTCGATCATACGAACGTGTACAAGCTTGGCGAGAGAGATGGGGATGGTCACCATTAAGTTTCGAAGCATATGACTCTCCTCCACCGTACTCTCCACCTCGTAGGTCACCCACACAACCTCCTCGAATATCACCGACGCCCGAAAATATTAGTTCCTCGCCTATGCGACAGTCTCTATCTCCCGCCCCGGAGCCAATTCCGAACCCAATAATCCCTGGCGACCCAGCGCCCTCGGCCGAAGTTCTTTTTAAGACAACTAACGCATTTGCAAAGGAGAACGGATTTGGTATTATTCGGCGGAATAAATATTCCTATAAGGGGCGGTTGATTAGGTACTCCATTCAATGCGACCGGTTTGGACAATCTCGGGCCTCGGGGGGTTCTGGTCTTCGAACCCGAAGGTCTCGGAAGTGTGATTGCAAATGGATGATAATTGCTGAAGCCCTAGAGGAAGGCAAGTGGCTTCTTCGACAACATAGAGACCCGAAACATCACCAGCATAACCATGAACGGAGTATTACGCCATGTGCGCATGTTTCCCACCGCCGCCTTACTACACCAGTTAAAGCAACCATCGAGTCAGCAAGCCGTCGCGCGGGTAACATCACCAGCATAACCATGAACGGAGTATTACGCCATCTGCGCATGTTTCCCACCGCCGCCTTACTACACCAGTTAAAGCAACCATCGAGTCAGCAAGCCGTCGCGCGGGTATTCGAGCCAGTGATGTAGCTGCTATCGTTGAGGAGCAATTCCCCGATACAACACTCCTGCGGAAGGATATCTATAATGCCCGTTCGTTCATTAACCGAGAGAAGCTTAATGGCTATACACCTACTGCGGCATTGATCAAACTCTTTGATGAGAAGAAGATCCCATACATCGCGAAATGGGCCGATGATGATCCAGATAGACTACTTGGTCTTGTCTGGACCTTTCCGTACTGTCTACAGATGTGGAAGCGCTTCCCCGAGGTGATTAGCTTTGATAACACATATAACTCTAATCGCTTCAAGCTTCCTTTATTCCAGGCTACTGGCCAAACCTGTCTTGGAACTGTGTTCAATGCTGCATTTGGCTTAATAGATAACGAGAGGAGGGAGGGGTTCCAATTCCTTGCAGAGAGTGTTCGCGAGCTCATTACAAAACACTCAATCAGGGAACCAGATGTCATCATCACAGACTTCGACAAGGCTATGAAAGCTGCCCTTAATGATCAGTTTCCAAATGCACAGCAACAGCTTTGTATTCATCATATCCTTTCAAACGTTTTGCTTAAATCGAAGACTAGGTGGACGGGCCAACGTGAGGACAGTACTACTAGCCCTAGCGCTAGTGACAGTGAAGGCATTCCCTCACAGGCGGATGGCGGGTTGAGCACTACAGATAAGCATCTGATCGAAGATCGGTCGAGTAGTGATAAGATTCCTCATACTTACCAAGGCGTTGTTTTAACGTGGAAAAAGGTTCTCTATGCCGAGACTGAGGAAGCGTTTGAGCAGGCATGGAGAGGTCTTTGTAAAGAGTTCGACGACCAACGAGCGATCTTACAATACCTCTACTCGACTTATATGCCTGTTAGTGCTCAATGGGCACGTTGCTTTATCCGTCGTTATCGTAACTTCGGAATCCGAGTTACGTCCGGCACAGAAGCAAGCAACAATAATATCAAAAGCTATCTATTAAATGGCATGAGCCACCTCTACCGACTCGTCGAGGCAATGCAGGATATGATACATGACCAAGAACGTGCCTTTAGGGATGCCTGTGGACAGGATGATGTCCTCACTGCTCCACAATACCTAGGTTCGATGGGAAACTATCTTGGTGAACTACGAACAACCATGTCATCGAAAGGACTTGGGTTAATCAACAAGCAATACTGTATTGCTCGCAAATTTCTGCCGACGGGGAAGAATCCCTTCCCCGACTCTATTGGACTTTGCGACGACGACTGTACGGTCTCTATTGAGCTGGGAATCCCATGCTATCATAAAGTCTACGCAAAGCTAGATTCTGACACACGTTTCACTAAATGGGAGGTCCACCCACGCTGGCGACTACGGGAATCGGCATCTCAAGATCCATACCGACGAATTCTTGACCCGAAAATTGCCACTGCACTACGTGGAAGGCCAAAGAATACAGCGCAGATTATCCCAGAAAGCCTAGCTATTACATCAAGTAGCCGATCTGATAATCAACCAAGTGGGCGAAGGCGAGGTCGACCGCCAGGAAGTCTCAATAAGCCAACTCTTGCTAGGAGAGTGCATAAAGCTACTCGAGAAACCATCACACAAACTGGTGGCCAAATTGGCATCTCAGCCCAGCAAGGGCCAGGTAGACCTTCTGAAGTCCTAAATGCTGGGAATACGACAGGCGTG